AAGGATATCAGGTTGATTATCCTGAAAGACAACCAATTCACCTATATTCACGGGTGTTGTATCTGGATCCTGTGACTCCTTCCACTCTATCTTCCGAGGGTAACTCCCACTATGGTCAACTTCCTCAATAAACTTAGCATTTCTGGCTTCAACAATTCTCAGTGAATTTGAAGGACAATAAAATATGTAGCCCTTGGAGTTTTCCACATAGCTTATGAAAAAACCACTAACTGTTCTGTGATCTAATTTCTTTAAATGTGGGTTATACACCCTCACTTTAACTGGACAACCCCAAACATGTAAGTGGCTTAAACTTAGCTTCCATCCTTTCCATAACTCAAATGGTGTTTTGGGAACAACCTTGGATGGAACCCTGTTTAAGATATACACAGCGGTTTTCAAAGCTTCACTCAACAAATTTATAGGCACATTAGAATGACTAAGCATGCTCCTTACCATATCCGTAAGTGCTCGGTTCCTTCTTTTAGCAACACCATTTTGTTGGGGTGTTCAAGGCATTGAGTATTGTGCAATAATGCCTTCTTTCTTAAGGAACTTAGCAAATGGACCTGATAATTGTCCTAATTCTGTGTACTTCCCATAATATTTTTCACCCCTGTCTGACCTCACAATTTTAATTTTATTTTCTGTTTGTTTCTCTACCTCTGTTTTATATACTTTAAAGGCATCAAGTGCCTCGGCTTTATCAAACAAGAGGTCGAGATACATGTATCGTGTAAAGTCATCAATAAATGAGATAAAATATCTCTGACCATTCAGACAAGGTGGAGTAAATGGTCCACAAATATCAGTGTATGATTTCAAGAATTTCCTCACTCCTTTTGGCACCTTTACTGGCCTTGTTGGTCTGCTTTCCCTTTATGCAGTTCACACAAATACCAAAGTTGGTACAATCAAGAGTCGGAAGGACTTCATCATTAACCAATCTCTTTATTCTCTCAATGGAGATATGTCCCAATCTTCTATGCCAAAGAATAGAGGATGACTCATCAACAATATTACGCTTAATGCCAATATCACCATGCAAGGTTAAAAGGATTTGTTCAAAAACAAGATCCAAATTTAATTTGTACAAACCATTAATTAAAGTACCAAATCCTACAAAAATAGAGTTTTTAAACAAACTAAAATTTGCACCAACAAATTGAAATTCAAATCCAAACGATACTAGTCTAGAAACAGAAATTAAATTTTTAGAAAAAGATGGAATGTAAAAGGTGTTTTTAAGATCCAGAACAAAGGCATTCTTTAAAACAAGTCTGAAAGTTCCAACAGTTTTGACGTGCGAACGCATCCCATTGCCCGAATAGATGCCTTGTTCACTTCCCGTCGGTTTCCTTAGGCTGAGGAAGCCCTGCATGGTATTAGCAATGTGAATTGTAGAACCCGAATCAATCCATCAATCATATTGATCAGTATTAACAAAATTAGATTTATAACACACAAGAGATATGAGATTACCTTTCTTCTCAAGCCATTTCTTATACTTGGGGCAGTCTTTCTTCATGTGACTCTTTTTCTTGTAGAAGAAGCATGCATCCTTATTGCCATGATTTTTAAATGGCATTTTACCAAGCTTCTTCCATTTCTGATCACTTTTGCCCTTTTTTCCTTTGCCCTCCTTTATGTGTTGCTAAATGAGCACTTTCCACTTTTCCATGCTTCAATCTCTCCTCCTCTTGAACACACATGATCAAAAGTTCATTGATAGACTATTTTTCCTTCTGTGTGTTGTAAGAAATTTGGAATGCTCCATATTCCACAGGAAGAGAATTGAGTATGAAATTGACAAGAAATGACTCAGAAATCTCAATCTCTAAGGACTTAAGACGAGCTGCAATGTCCCTCATTTTCATAATGTGCTCACACACACTCCTAGAATTGTTATGCTTCATTCCTGATAGTTTGTTCATTAGAGTGCTTGCCAATGCTTTGTCAGAACTAACAAATTGCTCTTCAATAGCCCTCATGTAGTTCTCAGATGGTGGGATTGAGCCCCTAATGCTCTGGCTGATATGTGACTTTATGAGCATTAGGTTTAAGCAATTAGATCGCTCCCACTTATCATAAGAACTCTTTTCTACAACGGAACTCTTGACCGTGGGTTTAGGAGGTTCATCCACACGGAGTGCCAGATTGAGGTCCATGCACCCTACTGTTAGAAGGATTTTGTCCTGCCAATCCGAAAAATTATCACCGTTCAAGAATGGAATATGAGAGGACTCATTAGACAGTACAGAGGTAGAAATCACTGCAATTACCACGAACATCATTAATACTTTGAAACAATAACTATAGTCTGAATCAACCAATGTCAAATTCAGTAACAAATCTAAACCTTCCTGTGGGTAGAGGCTACTAAACTGTATTAGATCTGCTATTACTTTATAATAAGACTAACGAGTTTCGAAATATTTAAGAAAAAAAAACTCATACCTATGGGTTTAGAGTATTCAATCCCTTTAATACCCAATCCATTATCTTATTCCAATTAAATCTCATAAATAATTACTTTCCTATGGGACCAAGAAATCATTTATAAAACATAGTTGCAATGTAAAAATGCCAAATTAATTTTTAACTTTATGTGATCAAAAAATTGAGGATCACATCTTTATGTCTTAAGATGCTGTGGCTACTCTTAAAACAGAATAAAATTTTTAAATATGGCATAATTTATTAATGTGAGGAAATCCTTATAGTCACAACAAATACATAATCTTTTAATGCACATAATGTATAATACATACAATCAGAGTAATATCACATGAAAAATCCCAAGACTAAACACATGTAATTCAATCTTATACTAGATTTTGCTTAAATTAGACCAAAATAAATTCCATAAGCCCAGCACATAGTGTATACATGCTCGTATTTCACATGAATTTTCAATGCATAAATAATTACCTTAATGCATGTAATATAATATTACATTATTCTAGAGAGCATGCCAATGAATATGAAAATTTATAAGACTTTAAAGGATATGTTAAAATAGTTCAGTGTATAAAATTCAAATAAATTTACTTACTATTTAAATATGCAACTTCAATAAACAAAATATTCGTAACAGCATGTTAAAATTTCTTCATGAAAATTTTAGGAATAAATTCAAGTCTTTTATGCCTTTTAAAATTAACTGAATAAACTCAAATAAAAGCATAAGAATTTCTAGATTTTATGCAGAATCAGATTAAATATTTTGCTCTTTAATGTGTGTGTCAATAAATAAAAATAATATTTAATGACATTCAACAGGTCTCTTAAATAAAATAGATTCAAAGTAGGAGAAAATTCTAAATGAATGTAAATACCACTAGCACAAATCAAGATGGATTCTACTGTTGCAATAGTCCTTCCTTTTCTTTAATAATGATATTCAAAAGTTATGCAATATAAATTACTCATTCTGATTCTACAAAGATCCTCCTGAATTGTTAAATTTTACGGGGTGAATTAATATACAAATATCACAAGTATAAATTATTAATTCACATAAAATATGAAGAATAGTTAATTTGTTGTCAAATATGGACCACAACTTTTGATTGATTTCTTTACAGGAGTAAAACAAGCTTCAAGAAATCTGTGAAGATATTTGACATTCAAGACTTTATTGGAGACACCAATTGTTATGTTTTATCCCACTTCTGACAGCATTGTCAAAGTTTCAATATACAACCGTACACATCAAAACATTCATTAAATTGTTGAATAAAACGTTCTACACTATAAGATGCGGAAGTTCGATTTCATGTAGATGAAACAAATACTAAACAACATAACAAACGGTTAGCTCTGATACCAATTGTGAGAATTAAAATAATATTAATTCAGAAAGAAGAATACCTCCTGTCATGATGTTCAAGTCTTTGAATCTTGTTCTTGAATGGTCAAATCTTGAATGTATAAACAAAACACACTCGCAGAACACTTTCATAGAACCATAAGAAAAAAGAGTTTCAAGCCTATTCTATTTACCAAAATAACATCTGTATTTGATGGAAATCACAGGCATATATATAGATAGGCTTGGACCCATAATCTATTATAACTCCTAATAACTTCCCACCATCAAGGAAGTTGTAACTCCCATGACTCCACTATATTGGGTAGTGGGTATCACACATGTTAGTTACCCAAATAATACTTATTAAATATGTATATAAAAATATAACTAATATTTCTATAATAATAATAAATAAAACTAATGTGGCATGTGGGCCACTTTATGGAGACATACTTACATATTGTAGTTGTTTCACTAATTTATAATCATCTCTTGATATTCCAAGGATTAAAATTGATACCTGACCCATTATCAATATTCCTATACTATTGTGTGGTTATAGCAGAATTTAGCTGAAGTAAGGTCAATCATGAACCCTATTGGTCATGGAAGTAGCACATCATCATTTTTCCAGAAATCACATTGTCATGGAATTCCTAATTACTGTGGTCATGGAAGTAGCACATCATCATTTTTCCAGAAATCACATTGTCATGGAATTCCTAATTACTGTTTGTTTCACTGGAATGAAGGTATACGGAATGGAATTGTCATTCTTTATTCTTTATTTTTATTTATTTATTTTTGGTTACACGGTATACATTCGTTGTTAGTAGGGGGGCAACACAAATGGTATCAAACTCCTCTCTAGAGGATTTGAACTTGCAACCTCACACCATAAAGTGGTGCTATATAGCCACTAGTCCAAAGGCCCTAGTTGGAATTGTCATTCTTTAGCTTCTTTGTGAAATGACCATTCCCTTACAATGGTTAATGATGATTTCATTTGGGATGCATTTTTCATCATAATTTTAGTAACAAATGTGACAATGGATGTTCTAATGGAATGATTTGCATATCTATAATGTATGGGATTACTCTTCAGGTTTCCATCCTATAATTCACCAAATTATTGAGGTTCTTTTGTGGTAATAGTTGTTCTCTCTTCTAATGCATTTGGTTATAGGGTGGAATGCCTGGCTCAGTACGCTTGAGAGATTGTGAGATTCTCCGTAAAATTACAAGCAAACAAGCTGAGGAGAAAAGGTTATACAGTGCTATTTGTGCTGCTCCAGCAGTCACACTTCTGCCATGGGGTCTCCTCAAAAGAAAACAGGTATCTGGTGTTAGTCTGGGACCTTTGAAATTTTAATGCTTTCAACTTATTTATGTACTGTTGGCTAATTGAGATCTAGTTTTTCCTTCAAGATGACTTGTCACCCTGCATTTATGCACAAGCTTCCAACCTTCCGGGCAGTTAAATCAAATATCCAAGTTTCAGGGGAGCTAACAACAAGCCGTGGCCCGGGTACTTCTTTTGTGTTTGCTATAACATTAGTGGAGCAGCTTTTGGGGGAGTCTGTTGCCAAGGAGGTTGGAGAATTGTTGGTAAGATATGCCAGAATTCCATTTATTTCTCTTTATTCAGATTTCATGTTGTAGCTGTATTTTGCTTATAGAGAGAAAAAAATTCAGTGTCCCAATAAGACACTGAAGGTTTTGGAGGAAGTCATTTCCTAGACAAAATACCACAACTCTGTTGCCTCGTCATTACAAGGTTTGATGAGAAACCAAAAAGGTTGAAATTTTGAGTCTCCTGAATCCCTCAAGTTAGGTTAGTTGATTAGTTGCTTGCATATACACATACCAAAAAAATAAATAAATAAAATCTGTTTTAAGTTTTCTTACAACTCAACTCAAAAAGCCATCTTCCAACTATTTGAGGTCAATTACATGGATTTTGGTTTGCCATTCTACTTTGTGGAGGACCATGAATTTAATTAGACCACATGTTACCATGTTTTTTTCTTAGTCTTCATTGCATATGCTTGAACCATCTTTAGCATTTTTTTTCTTTTTTCTTCATCTGCACTTGGTGCTACTTCAACAGTTCCATGAATGTGTTATTCCATAATTTATCCTTTCTTGTCGTACTACATATAGGTCCCAACATCAATATTTTAGAGATAATGGATTACTTCAAAAGTATTTCAAGTACTGCTCAATAGGAAATGTCTTAATAAAGAAAAGGAAGTAGGCAAAATGATGCTATTATAGTAACCATATAACTAAACTAAGAGACACTTGGTTGAAACTCATAAAGTAAGAATATTGTTTCTGTTTAATGCTTCAAACACTAGTTTTGTTGTTGTCTCATTTTTATTTTATTTTTAAAAAATTTTGCCTTCATTTATTTTGTGTAATCAGTTGTAGGCTTTGAGCTTACACTTTTTTTCTTCTTTTCCATTAGCTAATGAATTCTGCTAATGAGAACCCTAGAAAGGAAGAATTCAATGGAGTTGACTGGACTGTTGACCACAACCCTCATGTAAGTAGTTCCTTTATCTGCTTGACAGATTACATGTTGTCTGTTAATCATACATGAAGCTTTATATTTATTTTCTTCTAATTTAGATGATTTTTCTCGATAATAAAATTTATTCTTAGTTTGAGATGTGTGAGCAATGTATTTTGCTCGCTAATATTTTAATTTCATGTGGTTGGTTGTGCCCTGTACTTGTATCATGCTCTCAAATTTTTCATTTGTACAATATGTTCTCAGCATCTATTTTTGCTGAAATTGCCCAAATATTGTGACTACTATTTACGATTATATTTATTTGACACTAGTAATTTTGGCTCTAATTTCTTTTTTAATATAGTAAGCATGAAATCATCTCTAGTCATTGAAATGGTACAGGTGCTAATCCCAGTTGCAAATGGATCTGAAGAAATTGAAGTAGTAACAATTGTTGACATTCTACGTCGAGCAAAGGTGGATGTTGTGATTGCTTCAGTTGAAAAATCTGTGCAGATTTTGGCATCACATGGCACAAAAATTGTTGCAGACAAGTTAATTGGTAGCGCTGCCGAATCAATATATGACTTGATCATCCTACCGGTGAGGCAATGAAAATGTTCTAATTTTAAATCTCAAATTGCATTATCTTTTAAAAATGTATCAATTTCACACCCTCTAGACCACCTTCAGTAGGGGGGCATTTGTATGGTTTTTATAATTGAGGGGGTCAACATGTTCGCGTTGATAGATGAGGGGAAGTGATATTAGCTAATAGTTGAGGGGGTCTTAGTGTAATTAACCTTTATAAATATTCAATTTACCAACAATTTTATGCTAAATTGATATGTTATCAACTTTATGTACGTGCCATAGCCCAAATGCATTTGGTTCTACAGTACATCTCTTAACACGTGGCTGATCCTATATCTTTAGGGAGGAATTGCGGGGGCGGAGCGGCTGCACAAATCAAGGGTTCTAAAGAAGCTGCTAAAAGAACAAGAATCAACTGGACGGATATACGGAGCAATCTGCTCTTCACCTGCAGTCCTGCATAGACAAGGATTACTCAAGGTTCACTGAAACAACTCAATATATCCCAACTTTTTTAGCCATAGATGTTTTAAACCCATGCCTTCTCTGACAAAAACAGGATAAGAGAGCCACAGCTCATCCATCTATCATAAGCGAGCTCACCAACAAAGCAGTGGATGGTGCCGGAGTGGTTATCGATGGCAAACTGATCACAAGCAGGGGACTTGCCTCTGCAGCCGATTTTGCCTTGGCTATTGTGAGTAAGCTTTTTGGTCATGCAAGGGCAAGGAGTGTAGCAGAAGGTCTTGTTATCGAGTACCTCAGGACCTAAAAAGATGATTTGTAACCCGTGAAGTGTTTGAGACGCCAAATGCCCATAGCCAAGAAAGATGGAGCGATTTTTTCCCAACTCGATCAGCCATTAGAAGAAGAAAATAATCTTCTCTGGTGGGTTGGTTATATATAAGAACGAAGTTTTTTCTTTGTTCACGGGAAAAATTACTTGCAGAAAGAATTCACAATGATTGAGAACAACGGCTTGAAATCCTCATTTATATTGATAAGCCGCAATCAGGTATCTTGGATTTCTGCAGACATAACAAGATGTGGCATGCTAACTATTAGATCAGTGTTGCTTTCTGCAGACCTTACTCTGGACCAATACCATTGAGGATTGGTGCTTTTTTGCCCGGCATGCAAAGAAAATGACGTCAGTCATGACTGTTATTTCCGTGTCATTAAGCTTTTTGTCAGAGAGCAATCCAAAGTTGTGTGCGCGATGTCCTCCTGTAAACAGGTTTTGATGTTTTGAAGTACCTCGTTTATATTTGTATAAACAGTTCTATTTTTGGATCTGTATGCATATCCTTATTTCTTCCCTTTGGCCATTAGGAACATTTAAGACTGTATTTGGATCATGGATTTGAGTAGATAGCAAAAGTTACTTTGAATTTGAAAAGTCTAGTTCTTAGCAAGTGAAAATGGAACAAGAGAGCTTCACTGTTATTTTGTTGTTCCACTTTTTCTGAGTGACTAGGCAGGGGATGATGACACGATGGCACTAATGCATTGTACTCCGTCAATTTTCATTCATTCTTAGCACTCAAAAACGTGTTATGAAAGGAAAAAGTTTTGTTTTTTTTGAAAGTTAATTTCACTTTTTATTTCGTAGCTATCTTATTTTTTGCTATTTCATTGGTGAACAATTAATTTCATCTATTTAGACTTTAAAATTTTTAATTTTAGTCCATATGGTTCAATTGCATATGGTTGTCTAAATCACTAACAATTAATATAATTTGATAGGTAAAAAATTCATTTTAAAATTGGGAAAATTACAAAAAAAAAAAAAAAAAAAGTTCTACAGTACATCTCTTAACACGTGGCTGATCCTATATCTTTAGGGAGGAATTGCGGGGGCGGAGCGGCTGCACAAATCAAGGGTTCTAAAGAAGCTGCTAAAAGAACAAGAATCAACTGGACGGATATACGGAGCAATCTGCTCTTCACCTGCAGTCCTGCATAGACAAGGATTACTCAAGGTTCACTGAAACAACTCAATATATCCCAACTTTTTTAGCCATAGATGTTTTAAACCCATGCCTTCTCTGACAAAAACAGGATAAGAGAGCCACAGCTCATCCATCTATCATAAGCGAGCTCACCAACAAAGCAGTGGATGGTGCCGGAGTGGTTATCGATGGCAAACTGATCACAAGCAGGGGACTTGCCTCTGCAGCCGATTTTGCCTTGGCTATTGTGAGTAAGCTTTTTGGTCATGCAAGGGCAAGGAGTGTAGCAGAAGGTCTTGTTATCGAGTACCTCAGGACCTAAAAAGATGATTTGTAACCCGTGAAGTGTTTGAGACGCCAAATGCCCATAGCCAAGAAAGATGGAGCGATTTTTTCCCAACTCGATCAGCCATTAGAAGAAGAAAATAATCTTCTCTGGTGGGTTGGTTATATATAAGAACGAAGTTTTTTCTTTGTTCACGGGAAAAATTACTTGCAGAAAGAATTCACAATGATTGAGAACAACGGCTTGAAATCCTCATTTATATTGATAAGCCGCAATCAGGTATCTTGGATTTCTGCAGACATAACAAGATGTGGCATGCTAACTATTAGATCAGTGTTGCTTTCTGCAGACCTTACTCTGGACCAATACCATTGAGGATTGGTGCTTTTTTGCCCGGCATGCAAAGAAAATGACGTCAGTCATGACTGTTATTTCCGTGTCATTAAGCTTTTTGTCAGAGAGCAATCCAAAGTTGTGTGCGCGATGTCCTCCTGTAAACAGGTTTTGATGTTTTGAAGTACCTCGTTTATATTTGTATAAACAGTTCTATTTTTGGATCTGTATGCATATCCTTATTTCTTCCCTTTGGCCATTAGGAACATTTAAGACTGTATTTGGATCATGGATTTGAGTAGATAGCAAAAGTTACTTTGAATTTGAAAAGTCTAGTTCTTAGCAAGTGAAAATGGAACAAGAGAGCTTCACTGTTATTTTGTTGTTCCACTTTTTCTGAGTGACTAGGCAGGGGATGATGACACGATGGCACTAATGCATTGTACTCCGTCAATTTTCATTCATTCTTAGCACTCAAAAACGTGTTATGAAAGGAAAAAGTTTTGTTTTTTTTGAAAGTTAATTTCACTTTTTATTTCGTAGCTATCTTATTTTTTGCTATTTCATTGGTGAACAATTAATTTCATCTATTTAGACTTTAAAATTTTTAATTTTAGTCCATATGGTTCAATTGCATATGGTTGTCTAAATCACTAACAATTAATATAATTTGATAGGTAAAAAATTCATTTTAAAATTGGGAAAATTACAAAAAAAAAAAAAAAAAGTCAAGGATTGATCTTTATAAACAAAATTAAAAATTCATAATTTATTTTGTTAAAAAAGTTAAACTTTATATATTTTTTTGGTAATTTCCGTTTTAAAATTTGAACAAATTAAATCATATAATCAAACATTCATTTTTTTACTTACTATTTTGAAATGAACAGTGAAGAAAAGGATGGTATTTGAGGTAGCTCGTAAATTGTTTAATATAATGTAAGTAAAAAATTGTTGAAATTGTTAAATTATCTTTTTTCTCATTAAATTTGATTTTCACTGTTACTGATTTAGATAGATTGACGGATTATCTTCAAATGAACTGTATGAATTAAAATATAAAAAAAAAAAAAAAAACTTTTACAGAATAAACTAATAAAATTGATAATTTAGAATTAAAATAAAAAATAATAATGGAAATGATTTAAGGGATAAAAGTGAAATTAACCCTTAATTTCACAGAAAAAGCCAACCCAAAATGATCTTCATGGTGGTCAAAATTCCAACAAGTTCACAAAAAAACAGAGATCACACAACTGGGAAAGTTCAATCTACATGATCAATCCAATCCCACAATATTTTACAACACAAAACTCTGTTTCTGTACATAATGTTTATCATTCCTACAACAAGGTTTGAACTTTGAATCATCACAATACACTCTGTTCAATCCTTATACATGACAAAGGGCCAAAGTTTTTGTATTCAACCATTCATTCACTGGTAACACCCTTTCTACAACTCTGTTCTTCTGTTCTAAGCACACGTCCGCAACTTGCTTCCATTCTCGCTACTCTACCAGGGACCTGTCAACGTTCTCCTCAAGCATCGTCTTTTACTTCCCCAGGGCATATCCATTGTCTCCAATATCTGGAGAAACAAAACAAAAATACATTACTCGTCAAATGAATCGAAAATTCAAGCAGAGTTCTACATATACAAGGAGCACCCTGTTAATTTAGCCTTTATCAACCCAATTATGGTTTCTTGATCTCATAGTCCATGTTCTACATTTACTGGCCATACCCAGATGATCCCAATCAATTGATAAATTCCATTTATTGGATGAATAATTCTAAGTAGCCATTTGTGGGGAATAAATTAAAAATAGGGGAAAACCAAATGCAAATAAAATTTATTCATTTTATAAAAAACGAGAATTGTTTTCATCAAGAAGTCTTTGCATGATGGAAAAACTCAAGCTTCCACGCTTGTATGCTGTGAAGATTCTAGCCAAAGCTATTCATTTTTTTACCTTTCATTTTAAATTGTCTTTTTTGGTGGGGCAATATTGCTTCAAAACAACTATCATAATTTCCTAGTTTAAAATCCAAGGCAACTTCTATAGTAAAAGGAATGTACCTGATTTTTCTGCATCTCCATAATATCTTCCTGTGGCAACAATAATACAGCAACAAATATTTGACCTTTAATTTCTTTTTCAAATAATCTACAATTTCAAAAGCACAAAACTTTTGGCAGCAATTAGTAATATACCTGTTTTTTCTGCAACTCTTCATTAAGTTCTTTAAGTTTTGCAACTTCTGCTTCCAATTCTAAGGTATAGGCCTGTCAGAAACTCAAAGTGAAACCTAACATCAATGGACATTGTTGGGGATATAAATAATAATGTTACACCTTTCTCTCTAACAGATGAGATGGTGGTCAACAATTTCTCAGACATCGGTGAATCAACCAAGCACATGTAAAGCGGACGTGTTGAGGATATAAATAAACTTTGTCTTGACATAAGATTTTAGATTTTCTCTTAAGTCTTAGATTTTCTCTGATAACTTAAGATTTTAGATGAGATGTTTGGTCAACAATTTCTCCATCATCCAAGCAATCCTTTGAAATGTGTAACTTTGATCAACAAGGCAAGTCACTTAATACAGTAAAGCTATTTATACATGGAACTGTAATATACAAACATGTTCTACTCAACAAACCATCAAGATGATAATATTTTTTATCGTTCACATTTATACATATACAAACACGTTCTACTCAACAAACCATCAAGATGATAATACAACTTAATGTTATGCAGCAGAAAGATGTATGCTCTGCTACCTCTTCTTCCATGAAACTCATGTTTAGGATTGAGTAGTAGAAATTTTCTCATCGCTCTGTCATATTTGTGTGTTTATATCTATATTTCATAGACATGTTCATAAATGACTAAAGCAAGGAAATTCATCTCTACTAGAAATATGAGGGTTCGAGGAGGAACGGTGCTGTTGGGGTTTCTGTTGATTTTTCCACTCTATTTCCATCATTTCCATATCAGCCTTCCTTCTTGAAATATAATGTAGATCGGTGAATTTCAACATGATAAATCTTAATTTTTAACTTATAAACTGGGCTCACAATATTAGCCATATTAGCCATTTCTACGAATGATCTTTGATTATTATAGGAATGCATAAATTACCACAACCCATAAAACCCACGCGATTTGCTTCAAGAATAACAAAACAAAGTCAAAATACGATAAACACAAGCAAGAGTATAAAAGAGCTAAATTATGTATGGCGTTTGATATTCACCTGTTTCCGAGCCCGTGACCTTGCAGCAGACTCTCTATTTTTAATCATTCTCCTATGCCTTCTCTCCATTGCTTTCTCCAAAGTACCACCACATTTCCTTCCCCGCACGCCTCCACTAAACACTAAAGGAGGTGGTGACAGTGACGATGTATCCATATTATTACTCTTTGCAACCCCTTCTGAAGATAACTGGCTTGCAGGAGATCCTCCTGCTGCAACCATGGCAGTAGTCCGAGCGCCTAAACCCGTCATGCTAACCACTCCTCCAGTCTGCAGGACACTGCCTTGAATTAAACCATTGTTTGTAGAAGGATCTACCATTCTAACAACCGGACCCCTTGTTCCCGGGTTAGGGTTAGCCAGTTGCGCATTGTTTACTAAAGGCATTGGAGAAGTGAACGCCACCGTGACTTGCTTGGGTAAAAGTGGCTGTTGATTCTGCTGCAATTGTTGCTGAGAAGATCTTACTCCACTGACATTCGGTGGTAAACCAGAAGACTGATTAGGCACTGAATTATTGATATTATTGTTCTCTGGTATCCGATTAGCCATGACTACATTGTTCTGAGCTGATTGCTGAAACCCAAACGTCAAACCATTCAGACTGGTGGTGTTGTTATTTGTTTGTGATAAGTGATCAACATAAAATCCACTATTATTTGGCCTCGTGATCGGTTGAGTGTCTTCTCTAACTACCCCCGCTCTTGCCAAGAACTCCTCCAGTGTCATCTCTCCCAAAGTAGGCTGCCTCTGCTGCTGCTGCTGCAAATTTGACCCACCATTCACACTTCCGCCCCCATCATTTGCACCGCCAGTAGTTTCTTTAACAAAGTCTCTCCAAACCTCATCGACAGTTTTCGTACTAAGCGTGCGAGGCAATGTCAGTGAGCCTTGTCTCTGCAAATTCCCACCCAGGGCATTCCCTTCTCCAACACCACTAGAAGATGCCATGGCTTGAGTCTCTTCAGCTGTCCAAATGTTCTTTAAGAGTTCATCCATGTTCATTGATCCGAAATCCTTTCCAAATCCACCTAATGTGTTTTGAAACTCATCAAAGGTCAAGGAGTATATGGAAGATTGTCGGGCCAATGGAAAATTGCCTACCGGCTTCATGCCACTTCCATCTGGTTGTGGTGTTTCACCAAAGTTCTTGAAGTTCAAATATGATCCCATTATTCAAGAATGCAGAGTATTCTTATATTTCCACACAATTAGATCTGGCAACACCAAGCTGTCTTAAATTTTCATCTGGTCAAAGAGGATCAAATAGAAACCCTAGTTTCCTTTGGCTAGCTATCTTTATTTTCAGACCCAAAATTTAACAAATCAAAGAGAGGGTGTTAGTAGTCAGACCAAATATTGACTTCTCATATATTGAATACAGTCTAGAAACCTAATCCAAGGACCCACAAATGTAAAACTGCATAAATGATCTTCATTGTTTGCTATAATCTTCCACTCCAAAACAGAACCACCAATCATAATGATGAGAAAACAAACTCAAATTCAGAAAGAAAATAAAAACACTTCCCTGATCATATTAAATACAAATCAACCCAAAAGTACAATGTATAAACATCATTCATGATCTTATCAACCTCAATTCTAGCTTACTTTGCCCAAAAAAAAAAACTCAATTCAAGCTTGAAATAATTGAAAGAACATGTCAAATAATACTTGGCATGAAAACCCATCAAGAATATCAAGAAAAATCATTCAACTTATGTAGATCAGATTATAACTTCAGCACTCTAGTGTTTATCAAAATCAGATCCAATATTAACCAAAGCACAAAAATAATAATCAAAACAAATATAACCTTCATCTTCCATCTTCAATACTTAATCTGAGCTTCATGTCCAAATCAAACATCCATATCCACAACATGTATATAAACACATCCATGTAGATGCCCATATCTACATAATATTTACACACATCAAACTTAACTTCAAAGAAAGCCAACCCAGATTTTCAAATCATAAACATCATAATCTAAAAACAAAGAAAAGGAAAAGCTCAAAGAGCACAAAACAAAAGTTAAAACCCCAAACCATAATTTTTTTTTTCCTGCACTTCACATGAAAATTAATAATAATAATTCAATAACTCTTATTAGTTCATTAAAGGAATGTTTCAAAACCCAAAAAATAAATAAATAAATAAAACAAAACAACTTGCAATTAATTTTATCCCACAAAATAAATAAATAAATGAGTTAGAGAGAGGCGTTTACCTTTTTATTCATTATTTTTTTCTTTTTGATGGGTAAAAAAATGGATGGTAGAGAGAGAAAGAGAGGAGAGAGAGGATGGTGTGTCGTTTCCTTCTTCTTCGCCGGTGGAGTCGACAAGTGTCTATCAGTCTTGACACGAGTAAGGTATTTAAGCTGTGTTTTTTTCCAGAAAAATTAATGAAAAATAAATATTTTATTGTTTGAAGTCATCAGGGTCACGCAACGTGGATCAATGGTAGTGGGTTAGAGCATCATGATGTGACTCGTGGCCAATGAGGGCTCGCGAGGTGGGAACTTCTGGGCCGTTCGATTGCGCTTTCCCGACAGCGTATGAGATGGCGATCGTTGATTTGTCTGTTTTTTGAGAGTAGCATTTGGAGTAATGTGCGCCTGGTGCTTAGTACGAACGCACACCTAGGTTGGCTAGGCCTTTTTTTTTTACAAAAATGTTCGAAATCTTAAAATTTTTAACAAATATTTTATACATATATGAGGCCTACATGAGATTATTTTATAATCAATGAAATATTTAATAAAAATTTTAATAAAGAGTTTTACATTTATACAAAATACTTGATAAAAATTGTAATAAAACTTTCAAAACATAAAGCACTATTCATTTTTTTAACCTGAACCCATGTGATAGCTCTGTTTGTAGGGGCTGTTTGTAGTTGGGAACTTCTATGCCTAGCATTAATATTTGTTTGAAAAATGCTTGGGAGCACTAATTAGTGCTCCCATTAATTAGGTGGCAGTGGGTCCCGTCATGAATGATCATCATCAATAAAAAATGGAGAAATTATAAAAATAAAATAAAAATTCAGAGTTTGACCTGATAATAAATAAAATTTTAATTTTTTAAAATTATTTTTTAATAATATATTTTTTTGAGAAATATCAATGTCATAATTATACTTTTTATATATTTATGAATTTAAAAAAAAAGACATAATAAGAAATTTATATTATTTTTTACTTAATTTTTGAAGAGAAACTAATATTTTAAAATAATAAAAAATAAAACAAAAAATTAATATTTTAAGACGAAAAGAATAGTAGAGAAAGATGGAATCGTCTTGTGAAAATTTGAAGCGAGAATTACTTCAATCTTATCTTAAAAAACAAATAAAATGAGGTAAGGAAAAAAATCACTGAACGACTGTTAAGGATAAATTCGCAATGAGTGACAAACGACTATGACTATGGCCCCGTTTGGTGTAACTGTTAAAACAGCTTATAGATTATAACTTAGCAGATTATAGATTATGACTTTAATCAGAAGTTGTTAATCTGTTTGGTGTAACTGTTGGATTATAGATTTAAGTTGCTGAGTAGTATTTGTTAAATAAGCTGTGAAATAGCTTTTTCAATTAATTTTTATTTTTTGTTTGTCTACATTTCTCATAAAAATAATAATAATAATCTATAATCCATTTGGGTCTTTTCTATTTTTAAAAAAATAAAAAATGAAAAAAATTAAGAGTATAACCATAAATTAACATGTCCACAGCAGAAGCTGATAATCAGAAGTAAAGAGTGAGCAGCTTCTCAGAATTAGCTTTTTTGAGTTAAAATAAGCTGCTAGAATCAGAAGCTGTTTGAAATAAGTTTAACCAAACAGTCCAAAATAACTTTTTCAAAACTAAAAGTCATAAGTTAGCTCTGAAAAGCTGAAACAAACACCCTCTATGACTATGACTATGGGCTAATAGAGGCTAGTACACTATGAGGCCATTGGTGGGTTTTCTTGGTACAATAATGATATAAATAAGCTCTAATGATATAAATAAATAAATAAATAATAAAGAGTTTAAATGAGCTCTAATGATATAAATAAAGAAAAATGGTTTGTAACTTGAATCCTCTTTTTTTCAAATCTTTCGACTGTCCAAAACGACGTCGTTTTGGACATTTTTTTTTTTTTTTTCTCCTTATACAACCTGAAACTGAAACTGAGGGAGAGAAAGAGAAAGAGGGAGAGGAGAGAGAAGAAGAGAAGGGAAGAGATAGAGAAAGAGGAAGATGAGAGAGAAAAAGAGAGGGGAAGAGAAAGAGAAACAGAGAAAGAGAAGAGAGGGGAAGAGGGAATGGAGAGAGAAAGGGGGTCGATCGCCGATCGCCGCCGCCTCTGCCTCCAATTTTTTTTCCAGCTCGTTTTTTTTTCCAGATCGAAGCTCGGATTTTTTTTTTTTTTTTTGAAAATGTGTTGATGATGATGATGATGATGTTGTTGTTGATGATGAAGATGTTCTGGATCTAAAGATGAATGGTTGATTAGTATTTTTTTTTCTGGATCTGAATGGTTGTTGATGATGATGTGACAACCCTCATCTCTGATTAGCGTTAATCTGTGGTTAAGCATGATACGTAACTGATTAAGATGAAATTCTAATTAGATTACATGAGTGTACTATTTTAATTGCATTTCTATCTATTTGTTACGGAATGATCTGTTTATGTTTTGATTTCGAATTGCAAATTGAAAGCCTTATCGGCGACCGATTCAGAAATTGATTAGTGTTATATGCTAATTAGGATCTATAGAATTTTATGGTATGTTTAATTAAAATTCAATTTGGAATGATTAAATTATAATAAACAATGCTAGATTAATTGAATATAGGTTATTTACACATTTGCCACTAAGTGGGCTGATTCAAGACTAATTCTTTCATACATTTGATACATCATCTTTTGCATCCTCTAGACCAAACCGTGAGAGAGAGAAAGAATTGGAAGAGGAATTGAATTCAACAAGAGTCTTGTTTGAACTTAGAAGAAATTGAGGAGGACTTGAGAGATTAGGCTCCTACACTTGAAATTCAAGACTTAAGATAGGAAATTCATTCTCTTAATTGTGAATCTAAGTTGTCTCATGCATGGTTCATGGAAAAATTGGTGTTTAGAGTCAAGAAATAGTCTTAAGAGTTGAATTGAGAAGCAATGTTTGCATGCATGTCCATATCATTGAATCTTGAGATCATTTTCATGTGATTTTCCACATGCATGTCCATATTATGGTTATACTCTAGAAATTCACCATATGTTTGAGTACAATCTTGCATTTGATCATGCTTTGGAGCATTAGAGTTCTTAAGAACTCATGCATGTTATGTTCTTGCATCGTTCTTCAAGTTTACATTGAAATTTGTGTTCAATTATCACACCTTTGGGCTTGATTTTATAAAATGATCTTTAAAACATGTTGTAATATGGTTTCTAAATGTTTTCCAGAAAATTGGCCCAGAAAAATCGAGTTTGGAGCTTTTAAGCTTGAGGATCAACCTGGAAATTCCAGATTTTTGATCCACACTCGAGCGGAGGACTTCACGCTCGAGCGTACACTCTGAGTACATGCACTTTCGCTCGAGCGTCGAGAGTCATGCTCGAGCGTGAAATGCATATGCCCAGATGTTCATGTGTTTTACAGGTCCACTCGAGCGAGGTAATCCGTGCCCGAGCGAAGGTCTGAGTCTCACGCTCGATCGCGGGTCGAGCGTCCATTGAGCGTAAAAAACGTAAAACCAGTACTTTTTCATGAGTTTGCAGTCCACTCGAGCGAGGGAAGTCACGCTCGAGCTGAGCTTCTTTGTCTGCATGTCCGCTCGAGCGAGACCCCTGTTTTCAGCAAATTTTGAAAAATGTTGTCAAGTGCCTTTTTGCATCCTCATTCCATCCTAGGCGTTCTTAGGCCATGTTTAAGGCATCTTAATGAGGATAATGTTATAGAACCACAGCAAGTCAAGATAGGGGCTAAGTTGTTAATCCCGAATGTGTAATTTAGTTTGTGTTCGTTCTGCAACTGTGTAGGGTTGACACCCGAGGATGTTGGTTAGCCTGACTATAGCCCAGTAATCTGTGAGTAACAATGTTGTAAAGATATGTTCAATTATAATTATTTTCTGAACGATAGACTGTACTGCTTTCTGAAGTGACATTGTTTACCGAATGAATGTTTGTTCTATTTTATGAACTGTACTCGTGGCATCCGTGGCAACTTACTGTTACTGTTACTGCTATTGTACGATTACTATTACTGTTATTGCTACTATTACAGAGATCTCTGTCAGTTCCAATGTTTGGAACCAATATTGTTTACTGTTTCGATGGCCATTAACTGACTGTTCAGTCTATTAAGACCTACTGTACTGTACTGTTTTGCTATTGGATGTACCACGTATGATCGCTATGATTTCTAAATGACTAATATGGCATGAAATATGAGCCACTGATTGAATAACAGATCTACTGATGCAAATGACTGTTTTAATTACTGAAAGGGCATTCATTCTTAACCCCTTTACATGTTTGTTATTCACTGGACTTTAGCTCACAGTTTATATATGTATGTAGGTGGTCAAGCACCGGACCGAAGCTAGAAGCATCAAGTTAAGCTCATGTTTTGTCCAGCCAACCGTTGTGCCTCACTTCGAGGTTCCGAGCCTTCTCAAGCCAAGGCTGTTTTTAGGGTGTTTCAAATTCACCCTTTTGTCTCTATTATGTATCGAATGTTTAAGACTTGGTTGTACAGTTATGGTAAAGGGATTAGGTCCCTAACCTGTATGC